CCACAACCTTGGTATTATGGGAAGTTCATAATCCAGGAAGTTAAAGTCTCATATACGCCAATATCGACAGGAACCGAATCCGAATGAAAATGTGGGCGTATAAAAAGAGAAATGTGTACACCTAAAAAAAAATAGATACAACACAGGTCTAAGAATTTATATTAATAAACAGTGTCTGTAAAACTTTCAATCAAGGAAAATAGAAATAAAGATGAAGCAACATGGTGATAAACCACTTCGAGGTTGATATTAAAACGAGGAATCAAACAGATACGTAACAAAAATAAATTAAACTGCGACACCAGTTCCAACGCGTCAGTGTTGGCGCTCGCGGAGCTGATAAACAACTAATTCCGGACAAAACTAAAAACAAAACCCAACAAAACTCAAAAATACCAATATACTTAGTACTATAGTGTATAATCGTGATATTCACACATAACACTCATGAACCTATTGTCAACTGTTCCAATATAAAGGCCAATTTTGACCCCATAACTTCGAAACGTACCTCTTCTGTTCTTCAGATAGCTCAGTCATGTCTTTATAACTGATTTTGTAAAACTTCATTGAGGGCAGTTTCCATGGTTTAATGTATTTCTCCATTATTTCTGTATTATCTGTTCAGATCCTATACGATGTGCCTAAATACATGTAGATCAGTTTCACGGTCAAACAAACAATGGTGTGGACTGCAATGTTATAAAGCAAAAAGATAACAAGTCTGTAATCTTTTTATCACACACGGTTCATCTTTTAAAACAATATATATTTATCAGATAATGTGTAAACAGAGGTTTACATAACAGAGACGAGAGCTGTCTGTCCCTCTGCTATAATCCCTAATCCTAGAATTAGAACATTCACCATCACCAAGACGTAATCTTCATAATACAGATTGAGAAAACAAACACGTGTGTTTTTCTCCTATGATCCGAAATCTCAACACCTGAGTTCGTGGGACGTGTTTATTCCAAGTTTGATTATTTGTCTATATGATCATGATATTTAACATCAAAATAATGAGAACTACAGAATATCTTTTTGGTCTTGGCCGTCAGATATAATAATATCTCCAAAAATCCAGAAACTCATCCTACCATATTTTCAATAATTACATCCAATCAATAATCATGAACAATCAACGATCAAACTAAGGATATCTATTTGATAGTATCGACACGTGTTTGGTCTTTTAACACTACCAGATCTATTAAAGTTAATCCACTTCTCTGTCTCTCTCCCTTAATCCTTGGAGGTGCTTGCCAGGAATTACACTTTTTGTATAGATCACCAACACTCAAACATCAAAATAAAGACATATATTTGATAGCAACAGCCTGTAAATTATTTAAATAAGTATGCAGTGGACTCTTCGTGTCTATTGTAATACTGATAAAGTAGAACAGTATAAAGATAGAGGCTGTAATTAAAACACGATACACCAAGCTCAATGAGGAATCATTATCACAAATTAAATATTGATATTGTCTCAGACACCAGGTGCTAATGACGTTAACTGTTAATACACGACCAATATCCCCTTGTACGCACCTACGGCTATCACCTGCTAGGTATGTGATTATTGTAATTATTAATTATATTAAGTCTGTTATCCTACCCTGGACGTGGTTAAGCTAGGGTGTTGAAATGGGCTCCGTCCGCCCGTCCTTTCGTCCGGATTTCCCCCGTAAACATATCTTGATGAAACTGTACATGTGTACACACATCAAACAACAATTTTGCGAACTTTGGCTTTATGGATATCATCCGAAAAACCCTGGCCAATGATAAATGTGTACCAATGGTGTAAGGTGAAATTGAAGAATTTCGAAAGGTAGTCTGATTATAAAATATGGATGAAAGAAAAACTCGACATTTTCCTAGGAGAGATGAAAGACATGACAGTTCTTCCCGTATGTATCTGCCTCAGTCATCAATAGCCTATATTATTACACAAATCCTAAAACCCATCTAATAATAAATTAATGCGATAATGTATAAAGCATACATATATATATAATGTATTGATTAATATTTGACAACTCAATCGAGACCACAAGAAGTGGTGAGCAAAATGTTTGAATAGCATATGATGTTTTACGGGTTTACGTTATGATCCATGACTAACTACGTGTACCGTTCAGAAAGGACAAGAACGAAAAGGTTTTTTGTAGCAATATAGTCGTGGCGACAGTGTTTTTAAATTTATAGACAAAGAATAGAGAAACAAGATGACTTTATATTTCATTAATTAATATATTTGGCAAATTAATAGTTTCACACATATTCACATATATATTATATATAGTGTGTACTTAAATCAACTTAGGGTATAAATGACATATTGTTATATAAAAAAAAGAGTTATTTAGCCAAAACATCTGTCTATAAAATACAACAGAGAGCACATGTGCAAGGAAAAGTACTATTGGGTATAATATAACCAATCATTTTGTTAATTACACAAGTTCAGGGCCATGAACACGCTCTGTTATGCGTGATCTACATGAGTGCTATACATGTATAAGATATCTATTTGAAACTTTCAAGCAGACTTCCATTAGATTCCAGAGAGGTTCCATCTGAGTTCCTAGACAGCCACGAGGCTGGCTAGGGTGGAGAAATGTTTTAGCTAGTATTGTAATCTGTGCTATGCTTGTATACATGTATTCGGCTATGCTATATAAAATGTAAAAACGAACTGTTGCATTGTTGTAACTGAGGAAGACAAACGTCTTAAGAAACCAGTAAGAAGTACATACACAACGTGAAGCAGAAGAAAGACAGCTAGGGGCAAATTCTAGACGACCACAAGGTTACAGAAATATGTAGTAAGAAAAGATGCATGGGTTGTACGTAGGATGTGGCGACCGGTTTTTAGAATCCCCGCTTTCCATGTCAGACAGAAAGGCCCATGGTGCTACATTTTGTATACATCGCTGAAGGACAAACTGTCCTGAAAATTGGCACTTTATTCGCCATGATTGTTAAGCGGTTACCGTGTGCATCCCTGGCAGATTCTTTACATTTTATTCATTATCTACAATTAAAATAGTTGTCACACGAACTAAATATTTCTATTGAGTCGAATAGTTATAGTAATATGGCACGTGCTTTAATGTCTAGTTTAGAGTGTTTGGCAGTTACCTTAATAAAGGCGAAAAGTTGAAACCAGAGCCAGCTCTAAGCCAACTGGACCAATCGTTCCTAACGAGGCACCACGCTGGAATTGAAATGAAATGGGGTTTAACGTCCTTCTGTTCTGCTCCTATACTGGGCTAATGAAGACGGGCATACGCCATAATCATACAGTGTGCTATGAGGGAAATTTTGCCCGGGCAGCGGCACTATCGCCTACTCTTATATATGACTGTCTTCGCATACAGGTACGTAAATGGGGTTGTTTTTGCTTTTAAAGTTTAGAATCTCGAGTGTCAACAATCCATTCGCACGACGGACCCACAATATACGAACACGCCTCTGTATCGGCATATGAAAATATAAAGAATCTGAACTTCACCTTCAAGATAATTTAAATTGGCGAGTACAGCAGTTGTGTTGTCATGTATATATATGTATGTTGATTAGTTGTGGTGTTTGTCTTTATCAGTTGTATTAGTACTATTACCAGGTCATTTACTTAAAGATTGAAAGCATTTAGCAAGTTATATACAACTTTTATCAAAATGTTTTAAATCACAGTTTTGAGCAATAACTTTTGGAGAGGTTATCTGCATAAAGGTCGCGAAAAGATCAAAGTATGTGCCAGACTTACGCATACCTAAAGTCCCAGTAAAGTAGCCGAGTTACTACTATAAACACTCTAGCAATAAGGAAACATGGGGTCACTTCTTCAGCGAGTACACCGTTGCTGTGAAATAATGTTAGGCAGATTTATTTGGAATGGGCTTGCACCAAAGAAGGCATTATAAAGGGAACTGGGGTGCATATTTGCAAAGGTAAATGAATACACATCTTCGGCAAACAAGGACAAGGAGAGAAAATCTTCAACAACATCGACCGGTTTCAGATGAGATGGACGAAGAACTAGGAAAATCGGTAGGGTACATGCTTTTCATCGAAAATTTAAAACTTAGCCTCTATTGCGTTTCGAAGATTTAAGGTGAAGAGCGGAAGTATACATCGCAACGGAAGGTTGTCTAATGATTCACACAAAGTTGGAAAAGATCGCATTCACAACGTTTTCGGCTGAAGGGACATAACTCTGGAACGAAAGGTAGCGGGCCGCGCGTTATTGATAGGTTCCGTCCTCTTATGCAACCCAATGCTTCAAACAAAATTTCAAGGAACGTATGTTAAGTTTCATCTGGATCGGACAAAAATTGTTGCCTCAGGAGGATTCACAAACTTGTACAGATTTTCATATTCGTACCGGCCCGATGAATGTTAGGGGATATACCTGAAATAACATTGAAATTTTAACGGTCGCTACAATTCCAGCATCCTGAAAGTGGTCCAATATAGCCTAGCCCAACTTTGATGGATGACCAATCAACCGTTTAGTTCACACGTTGAGAGGTATTGAGGCCTGACCAGCCCCGAGACGATTTTAATAATATAACGGCCGCAAATGTGTGTTTTTGCTATTCTAACCAATGAGATTAGGAACTCGAAAGTGGTACAATACCAGGTGCGAATATGATGGAATTTTGAAAAGATAGGTTGCCATGCAACAAACCATACGCCAACAGCAGCTAAATCGTCCGGGGGGGGGGGGGGGGCGACAAGGTTTGTCGCATATTAATTCTTTTGTAAGTAATTGGGGGCATTTACAAGACAATTCCATACAGATCAGATTATAACTTTTTCGTCATTTGAGGGTTCACAAGCTTCTACAAACTGAAACAAAGTGAAGTCATATTGAAGTTTGTAGTCAAGTCCAAGCTGAAGCGATATAATTGTTGCTTGAAACATGGGATAGTTCTACAGGTCACATTCTTCACCATCAACTGCAGTGAGTTCCACAGTTTTCAGTTAATATACTAAGAATTAATTGATGATGTAATAGTTTATTTACTGTTAATAATCTAATGAAGATATTATTGTGAATTTTGAATAAATGATAGTTGATAAAACTATGATATATAAATATATACATATAGTATACTATATAGACAATTCCCTCCCAGTATAATCAATTTACATATAATAAAACAAATTTACATAATAGACAGAACCAGAAATAACTATATAGGTAATACAAATTTTAACCTTTAACCGGATACTTGGTTTTAAGTGAAATGGTTGCCGAAATGTGGCTTCAGTATTAGAAATTACAACATTCAATTGGCAATAAAGAGAATCATTTGATTGGTAATGTATTAACTATAGCTAAATGCAATGAAAGTATACAAAATCGTGATACAGATGAAAGGTGACTTTAGTTCAAATCACTACCAGCAGTTTATTATAAATACCATTAGATGCCTGAATGACAATCCAAGTCCACGTAATTTGTTGTCTATGATTATCACATTCATTCTCCACAAATTCGGATTAATCTTACTGCTGTAAATATACTAAAAGACAGGTATCACACAACTGAATGTTTCAGCTTTTCTCCCCAAAAGTAAGTTTATTCATATTGATTGGTGAAAAGCTATGTTCTTCAAAACTTGTATCAGATGTACTTATTGCTTTAATAAAAAAAGCTAAAGACGTGTGATACAATGTCTTTCAGTAATAATAACTTGTGGAGAATGCCTGTCAAATAAAACATGGTTTGACATTCTTTTTTGCACCATTTGGGCTAATGAATATGGGCAAACACCATACAGTGTGCTATGGGGGAAATTTTGCCCCCACAGAAACTGAATTTGTTAGGGGTTCTTTTACGTGCACAATAATGCGTACATGAACCTCAGCTTTTCACCTATCAGAACGACTGGACACTTACCAGGCCCAAAATGAATGTAGTCTGACCAAATGGCAGTACATGGCAATACATATCCCTAACGAACAAAGGGTATTAATAACACTGATATTATTTACAGTCATATGGTATTATACATGATATCAGTAAGTTATCTTGAATTAAACCAAACAATATATTTACATTTATATACAATTACAAAACATAATAATTGGTGCCGTGGTGGTGAAGTTATACAATGAAACATATATACAACATATATACAAATTAAAATACAATTCAATGAATAGATGCAATATATACAAAATGCAATTCAAATATTAACTATTCCTAATTTTGGGTCAAATATGTAAAGAGCTATACTTTGGATTGTAAAAGTACATAGCATTATATTAACCATAGTACAGCTCTATCCATTTAGACCTATGGTATTCTTTGTGGCACTAACAGAGCCTATAGGGGCAAGATTATCTTTGAATCAAGATATCTTACTTGATGCACTGTTGTAGAGTGGCACTGTCAACGAGCTTATGAGGAAATGAATATATCTAATCATTAAATTTTTATGCACTATTATTGAGCTGCACTGTAATCGAGCCAATGGGGAAGTGGACATCTAGTACATGTAGATATCCAGCTTCACAGCACTATAACTAGGAGCTCCGAGGAACTATATGCACTATTATAGAGTCGCACTGTTGATGAGCTAATGGGGAAGAATTATCTAAATGGAAAGAAATAAATGAGGTCATAAACTTTTTTTTCAAAAAATTTAAAATATGTACTTAGTTCCGTCATTCAGAATATTTCCAATATACTTAAATTATTATAAAATAAGAGTTATCATCCCATAATGTTTCAATAATCTAGATATTTCCCATTCTACAAACTACACTATAATATATTAATCTTTGTTTTATGCACTATTGTTGAGCTGCACTTTTACAGAGCCATTGGAGAGAAAAATTCCTGGAAATTTTTACCTTACATTATTTCTAAAATACGAAACATATCTAACACCTTAATTTATTCTAAAGCAAACATTTATGCCAAAGATTTTTAAAAATATTTTTTTGTATTTTTGATTTTAAATTGCAAATGTGGTGATAGGATGGTGATCGGTGTATGATACAAGACAATTGGAATTTTTATGGAAGATCTGATCACTGTCTATTTTAGATGAATAGCAACTTGTACAGGAAGATCTGAAGTGCTTTGAAATTTCATAAAAATGTCCAATTTGTCAATACTGTGTTTATTTACAAATGATTATAATTACATATTTACAAATTTGATTTTTCATGTATAGATTTTCCAATCTGATTGAAAAGTGACGAATACTCTGCAGATGTCTAGAATGACTGAATAATGATTTTTTTCTTGGTATCATGAGAAAAATGGTTGGAACGGAAGACATCACTGTCGTAGAAAGACGTTAAGTTATGGATGTTGATTTGTCGTGCCTGAAAGTATAATAGTTTATTGTATAATAATAATGATTATGCACCTCAGTAATATTTGATCTAATTGTTCAACTTCTTTTAATATGCTACTATCAGTGATTCAGGAAGATTTTCTTCACATTTATAAATTATCCATTGTTCAATACAAGGGGAATAACTGCATACCCATTCTGTAATAATAAACCTACCTTGTCTGCTAAATCTTTCTCAGAGATTTCTATGGTGTCTTGTTCTAAACCAAATCGATTCTTCTGGAAGGTCATTTGATCTTGTGCCAATTGTTTTAATATAAACAGTAACAGTTCGTTGTTGTCTTTTCGGAAAGATAGATAGCGACCAAATGTCTGAAATCAAAATGAAATGTATTAGAAAATATCAGAACAAAAAAAGGAAAGAAGCCTACAACATTTAGCTATTTAGCTAAAGCAAAGAAACAGATACAGTGAACAATGGCGGCGTTTTCTGTAATTTTCTAGTATTTCAATTATTGAAATGAGGTTTAAGGACCTACTGTTCTGCATTGACTGGGATAATGAAGACAGGCATACACCATACAGTAAGCTGTGAGGGAAATTTTGTCTGGACACGGCACTACAGCCTACGCTTGAATCGAATGTTAACTTTCAAGAGGTCTTAAAGGTGCGTCAATATGTACATGGGACTTCAATTTTTTCATGCTATCCAAACCACTATGTCGTCCCTGTGTGCATTACGACTGTGTATCAAATAAATCATTAATGTCACTTTAAGTAGTCATTACATGTAATAATATCCCAGCATCACAGTATAAACTTACCTTTCTCATACTTCTCATCACACTAAATTTCTGTGTACTGATAAAACTCTCTAGCATAATTCTAATAGCCATATTAACATCATCATCATTAACATAATCTCGTAGATGCATTCTTGCATGTGCTTCAGCCATACGTATCATAGATTCTATATGACGTACTGTGATAGGTATACTACCTGTAGCCTACAAATACACAACAATCTTTTAACACATTTCATACTACAGATTTACTAGCTTATATCTGATATGGGCAAGTAATATGTCTCTCAACAATACTGATTACAGATTTTCTAGGTTACTTGTATATCTGACTTGGGTAAGCATTCTGTCTTTATACAATACTGGTGGTGGTCAATAAACACCCAATTTACTGCAGATATTTTTATTCTTAGTGTGAAGAGTAGACTTTTATACAATAATCAAATGAAATGGGGATTACTTTTCTGCACCTACCAGGCTAATTAAGACAGACAACTGGGAAATTCTACACAGACAACAGCATTTCTGTCTACTCTTTGTCCAATTTTAACTATCAAGCGTTATCTTGTATGTACAGGTGGACCTGTTTTTCGAACCAATATACAATAACAATACATTTTTAATGTTATTTTATATTAATCTTACCATGGATTCTCGTCTCAGATCAGCATACATCTTAGCTATTTTATCTTGATCCATCTGATGTAATTTAGGATGAACTTTTTCTTTAGCATAAATAACATATTTTTTTAACAGATCTTGTGGAATGGCTTCAGCTCCAGTAGTATTTACAGTAATCTAAAATAGTAATAGAAGTATTTAGAATTTGTATAATAAAAACAAATGCTATAATACAGACATTTTTAGAGATTCAATGTACCACATACAACACAAATAGCAAAAATGTAAGTGTTATAGATTTGTCTAGAATAGAAAATTTAAATTGGCAATTAATTATTTTTGTACTTTGTTAGTCCATTAAAACATTTATATCTAAATTAGTCTGAGGTGAAGAGGAATGTTATGTTTCTAATCGTGATTTGAAACTTGGACAGACTAGTCTTGGCGTACATACCCCTGACAACACAGCATTAAACTAGTTTTGATCTTGGGAACTATAGTTGATTTAGTGCAGATAGGTTCATATTAAACTAGATCCCATCTTGGGAACTACAGTTGTTTTAAAGAGCAGATAGATTCATATTAAACTAGATCTAATCTTGGGAACTATAGTTGTTTTAAAGAGCAGATAGATTCATATTAAACTAGATCTAATCTTGGGAACTATAGTTGATTTAAAGAGCAGATAGATTCATATTAAATAGTTACGGTGTGATGAATTAAAACATAATTTACTTACACAATCTTCATCAGGCAAATCCGATGCATTGGGATGATGTTTCATATGACTAGATACAACAAATTCTGCTAATCTCTCATCCTGATGAAACATAAATATATAAATCAAAATGTATACTCACTTTCAGATATGGGAGAAATAGAGACAGAAAAGTGGTTTATGTCATTCAACACATGGTTGAATTTTATTTCAATAACTCACTTGCTTGTAGGGCTCTTGTAGCTGTAGGAAGAAACCACGCCACTTGACTGTATGGCAGACCTTACAATCTAACATGCATGCTTTAAATCATTCGGACACCCAACTCTAACACTTTCATATATAATTACTGACAAAATCTTATATCATTTTATGGGTAGAGTTATTTTCTTAATAAAACTACATAAATTTTGTCATATAATCAAGGCTAAGTTTATATCATACCTGAACAGGATCAACAGTATCTCGTACAACACATAATATATCAAACCTAGATAAAATAGGTTCAGTTAAATCAACCTGTAATAATAAAATAATTTAAGTGCCAGCTCATGTAACCCTTTAATTCATGAATAGAGATAGAGAGAGAGAGAGAGAGAGAGAGAGAGAGAGAGGGATGGGGTTTAACCTCCTCTCGACACAAACTAGGTGATTTGGGGACTAAAATATAGTTTAATTTTATTTCAATAATTCGCTTGCGCGTAGGGGTCTTTAGCAGTGGGAGGAAACTGGAGGACCGGGAGAAAACACACGAGGTTGGACAGGCGACCCAACTCCTTGTCACGTACAACCCGGGATAAGAAACCACGCCAGTTGACTATTCATGAATAAAATGAAAAGTAATTTGGAAACTTTTCATACTGTTATTACTTGCTATTGTACATAGAATCTTACCCACTCAGTCGAAAGCCGAATGAAAAGTAATTGAAGAACTTTTCATACCAGTATTAATTGCTATTGTACATAGTATGTTACCCACTCAGTTGAAAGCAAGCACTCCTGTTATCCAAAAATAGGCAGAAATGTGGGAAAAAAAAGATCTTAATAGAATTATTGCCCTCAGTCCAGAAACCGTGATAGTAAAACTTACGTTTTCTGAGAAAGTTAGAGAAGGATCGTATCTACCACCAATAGGATTAGCAGCAGCTATAATAGTACATCGAGCTTGAAGGGAGGTAACTATACCAGCTTTTGATATTGATATACTCTGCTGTTCCATAGCTTCATGTATACTAGTACGATCAGCATCATTCATCTACAATATAACAAGTATAATTAATACAAATTGGAAATACACCAAATGCAGTAAAAGCCATCTTGCCTATGGCAAAGCGATTTGCTGAAACTTTATTACAAATCATTTTTTTTTCTTGTTCAGCCAAATAAATTTGGCATAGATGCTATTTCTTATGAAAATTTCCGGCGTGGTTTCCCCTTGTCAGTGGTGTAGAACGGAGGGCCTGACAAGGACAGTTGTCTGGTCCTTCGGATGAGACGAAAAACCGAGGTTCCGTGTATACATTGGAATGCACGTAAAAGATCCCTTGGCAGTTGGAATTCGATATAAGAGTAAGTGATAGTGCCGCTGCCCGGGCAAAATTTCCCTCATAGCACACTGTATAGTGTATGCCCGTCTTCATTAGCCCAGGTTAGGAGCGGAGCAGAACAGTAGAACGTTAAACCCCATTTCATTTCATTTCTCATGAAAATCTTTTTTTTCTTGTTCAACCAAATGAATTTGATATGACAGTTTTTTTTCTATTTACTAGATATTTGTAGCCCAAGGTATAATTTAAGCAAAGATTTTGATTTTTAATATTCCATCATAGTATCATCTGAACTTTAAAGCCCTTAAAGGCACTAATCAGAGTGTCAAAAATAAGAAAAATATGCTCCATTTTAAGTAACTGGGTAAATAACAGTAAAATGGAATGGCTTTTACAGGTCGGAAATTTATTATTAGTATAAAGATGAAATGAAAAAACGTTAGTAAACTTAAAATGACTCAAGTTAAAATCGACAGTTTGGAAACATATTTGGACTGATATGTCTTTTACAAACTTTTATTGTGTCTGGTTTTAAATTTTATATCTAATCCTTATTTTTGCATGTTGGGACTTTAAAACTGAAACAAATATGTACAACCAAAATTGGTTACCTTATCAAACTCATCAATTAGACATATTCCTTTATCAGCTAACACCAAGGCACCAGCTTCTAAAGTCCATTCTTTCGATACAGGGTTCCGCTGAACGTAAGCTGTTAAACCCACAGCTGAAGCACCTTGACCTGTTGCATATACAACTCGAGATGCTGTCTTCTCTACGTATTTTAAGAACTGCGATTTAGCTGTACCCGGATCACCACAACATAGTATATTAATGTCCCCTCTCACTTTATGTTTTCCACCAGGATTTTTAGGTTCACCACCAAACATGGCAAGAGCTATGGATTTCTTAATGTCTTCATGTCCATATATAGAAGGGGCAATACTAGCAAAAATCTGAAATAACAAATTTGAGTAATTCAGTTCAGAAGAAGTTTTTCTTTCTGAAACCTGTCCTTTATTCTAAAATGCCTAATTAGTAAAAATAACTGCATACAATATCAGATATTACAAAAAAACTGGAACAATGTTATAAGCTATTTATCCATTACAAATATAATCACATTCACCACTGAAGATCAATTCTTACCAATATAAAGAATTATTTTACTCACCCTTTCTCCAATTCTTTCATCTTTAGATAATTGTACAATAGCTTTAATATCTTCATCTGTTAAACTAGCAGCTGCTAACTTATCATCTTTTTTAGTTATATAGTTAGCTTGTATAACTGTAGCAAATACAGGAAAACCATTGGCCATATTTAATGACCCATCATAATTATTGTGATATACACCTGTCAATTCCTACAAGTAGACAAATTACCATTAACATAAACCTTCAAGAAATGTAAATATGACAATAAACCAATCTTTTATATGGAGGTCTATAGAGCACACACACACACATTTGTAGCTTTGTGTGCAAGTTTTGAAAACTGTCACCACAATGTCATTACATTTTACAACAAATGGTAGGCACACATAATATGGAAAACAGTATTTTAATAACCCAAATTATACTTATAGATACATTATGGGAGATAAGATAAAGAGAGATGGCAGTTAAAAACTAGATAGTGTAAAGGTAATTTGCTGAAAATTTCAGTCCAATTGATCCACTATGAGCCGAGAAAGAAGCGGCTGAAATTTTTGCATAGTCTCGGTCATCCTTACTAAAATCATTAATATAAACAGCATAGTCTCGATTATCCATTTTTATTGATTAATTATCAATAGCCGTTAGCGGCATATAGGAATCTAATCCAGCCAACATCGAAGGCTAGCCTTCACATCGAGAGTTTATTATGGCCTGGATAAGTTAATTAATGTCTAATTGATAATTTAGATAACATTTTAGGCCTAAAGAAAGACTTGTAATAAGCAGATTTTGCTCTTGCATAATGCATGTTTAATAATAAGAGAATAATAAATAAGAAATACCACACAAAGACTTGCCAATTAATAAAGAGCTGAAAAGCTCGCTATCAGAGCTAACTACTGTATCTTGTTGCCTAACTAAAGTTAGTTTTATAAATATAATTTAATAACTTACTATTTCATCTCCTGGTTTACACATATCAACTAGGTCATCTAATACTATAGCATCTTTAGATCTTGGCAGTCGACCTGCAGGAACTTTCCCAGGACTTTCTTGCATTGTAATTCTTTGATAGTTTTTGTATATAGTCTAAAATACAGAATATACTATTCAAATTCTTACTGCATGACAGAAACTTAAAAATAATGAATAATAAAAATTTCTTTATGGTACCCAATAATGCATTGTACGCATGAATTTCATATGTTCTTTATATAAAGTTGCTTTTCAAACATTGTGTGAAAGACCGAAATTTAACAAACTTAAGGCACTTGAACGAGAAATGATAATATGCAACATAAATGATAAGAGTAACCTCCCCTACAGTCTAACAAAAAAGTATCAAATGTTTACAGAAATTTCAGACTATGCTCACAATTCTAAAGGATTATATACCTTCAATAAATACATTGAATTGGGATAACAAAATCTTAAATGATTATTTGGAAATATTCATATGGCATATTTCTTTCTATGAATCAGTGATCTATGTTCAAAGCCTGTACAAAATTATATAAGAGTGGTAATATTTACCTGTTCCATGTTAATTTCAAACGGTCCAGTAGACTGACATTCCGGACAGCTACCTGGTTTAACTTCTTGATTCTGATTTTGATAAAATGGTCCGAGTATAAAACCACATTTATTACAATCATATTTAATTATACTAAGTTGTGGTAATACACCAGTACAACTGGTTACTACACCACTTGTTCTTATTAACTGATTTAAATGTAACTGTCTGAAATATAAACAATTAGAATTCATTGTATGAAATCATTCTGTAGAGAAAACCAAAGTTAAAATGATTCTAAATGGTGATGTCACAAGAAAAACTTTAACATATATAAACAAGCTTTAACATGGTGAAATTTATATACATATGCTTCAACATGGTAAAATTTAACCTCTAAGTAATAGTAAGTGCAAGGGAACACCATCACACATAATTTACACAAAACAAATCTACAGACAAGACGCAATACGCAGAAATCATTTTATGTCAATGCTGCTTTTGTGCAAAGGGGTCAATATATTCTATTTATACCACCACCATTACTACACTTGCATGGTTGACACCAGTATTAATCTCTGTTAAACCACAGACTGTGTACTTTAAAAATATATTTAATACTGTACCTTAGAGATCGTAGATCTTCAATAAGAGGAAGTTCAGCTATTCTTACATGAATCTCCTTGGCAATTCTCTCATAGTTCGGATACATACTTAATACTACTTCTTTACCAGCCTAGAAATGGAAAACCAATTAATATCATTTTGGCATCTTTAGAACTTATGCAAGTCAAGTGATCAGAATTTATTTTATACAAGGAGAACACAATATTCAATATGCCTATCTAAACCCATCCAGAGAGAAATGGGGCTCAATGTCCACTCGACATCAACTAGGTCATTTCGGGACTAACATGGTTCAATTTTATTTTTAAAAATTGCTTGCACGTAGGGGTCTTTAGCAGTGGGAGGAAACCTACGAGGTCGGACAGCCTGCCCTACTCCTTGTCACGTACAACCGGGGAATCGAAACCACGTCAGTTAACAAAATGACAGACCTTGTGATTGAACTCGGGCACGCGCTATCCATCTGGCCATCCCCACTCAACACAAACTTGGTCATTTCGGGACTAACACATGGTTCAGTTTTTTTTCAATAATTCGCTTGCAGTGGGAGGAAACCGGAGGACCCAGAGAAAACCCATGAAGTTGGACAGACGATCCTACTCCTTGTCATGTACAACCGGGGAATTGAAAACCACGCCAGTTGACTCAATGGTACAGCGTGCACGTGCTAACCATTCAGCCATCCAACCCCCCATTAAATACCAATACTTACTTCATCAAAGTTTAACAACATTTCTGTTGGTGCTTCAGGTAAGAAATAAGCCAGTACTTGTTCTACAGATGCTAACATATTATAATCTATAACTAAACTCTCTTTATTAGCTGTAAAAAAAAAAAATATTTATAACCCAATAACTAAACTCCCCTTATTAACTGTAATACAAATATTAATATATCTATAACTACACTGTTTATTAGCTATAAACAACACCGGAAAAACGCATTAATAGGATCTTAATGCAACAGTTGACTTATTCAAGGAATTTTGACACCATCTTGGTTATAAATAATGAAAGTTTCCTTTACATTGTTCGAATGAAGACTCTTTCAATTAAAATATTAAACCTACCTTCAACCATCTGTCGAATCTTCTCTCTGTATACATTATGTCCCTTTGAGTCTACGAAGGTTCTTAAGAAATTTTTAAACCGATTTTTAATCTCAGTCTTAGGTCCCAACATGGACACCCATTCTCGAACAGAATGACCTTTCATATCTTCTAAATTCTCAATACTTTCAATCATCTGAAATAAAGTATACGGGGGTTTGAGATTTAGAAGCAGGGATGTAGGCTAAATATAGAGGGAATATGGACATAAATGACAGAGAAAAAGATCAAGATCTATGCCCATTTGACATATTTCAACTCAAAATGTTATCCTTATCCCTGAAAGTAAGTTTTATAAAATCATCAAAACAACTTACATCTTCATCGTCAATATCACCTTCTGCTGCTCGTTCAGCTATTCTACGTTTTCTAGCGGGTCGGTCTTCATCATCATCTGAATCTTCTGTAATTAGAAAACAAAACTGATTTAAATGATATCCTGAATTTATAGACTGAAATCAGAAAACAAAGCCATTACCGTTAGCTCAGGAAGTATTTTTTTTTAAAAGGCAAACATTCCCAAATTTCTAACAATACAGATTTACGGCATCTAGAATATTCCGGGATTACCAATTGTATTTTTTTTCCCAGGCGTTTTAATAGAGTTAACTTTATGTTCGATAGGTGGCATTTCCCTAAACGTTGTTGACTCTGATTTTGACAGTGATAAAAATCAGTTTTTATAAAGGCACCCAACGGCATGCATGTATTCCCAAAACAATTCAGTTGAGAACGCTCAGCAGCTTAAGGCTTAATAGAAACAAGTGATTTCTATCTCAATAATAGGTGAACATATATAATAGAAACAAGGGGTGGGTAACTCTTACCATACATCAATCCTCTTCTCATTCGACCAGACACAATGCCTTCTTCCTTTTCTCTCACTCTTATATCCCGTTCAGCTGCTTGTCTTTGACTTTCAGAGATATCAGAATAATCCTCCTCATCCAGATCACGTTCATCGAATCTGTCCAGCGCTGGAATAGCTCGATAATCCCTGTAAATAAGTAATATCAGGATTAATTATAGAAACAGTTAACAGCCCAAAATAGTAATTACCATTTATCTTTTTAAAAATAGAAACACCCAGGGCTAATTTATATATTTTCAAAGACCCAGCCAATTTTTACTGATCTGTGCTTGTATGTACATGTAGGCTACACATGTAAAAATATTAGTCTGTTGAGAAAGATAGGATATTGTAAAACCATTATCGGCATTATTTTTGATAAGCTCTATTGATATCGGGTTAACAATGCTGCTGTCAAATTGTGTCCGCTACAGTTTACCTGGAGGAACATGAGCCATTTCGTATTTACTTCATTCGTATCTCACAAGCCGTTTCGTTATTTGTTCTAGTTTCAAGAGAACTTTTACACGCACTTGAGCTTAACCCTCCTCCTTTTGAAACTGGGCTTATGACTGGCGTTGTTGGGTTGTTTTGTTTTTTGTGTTTTTTTTTGGGGGGGGGGGGGTCCTATTTTATATATCTCTATTGCTTGGTGGACAAGTCTGTTAGGAGGCAGTTGGCTGATATTTGGTTTTGTAATGACAATAGGGAAAATTTCTTTATGGGTGTTCAGATCATTGTGCCAATCCTCCACGTCGTTGGTTCGTACTCCTTTCATAAGGGCACACCAGCTTGCAATCGGTCAAGTTTGACGTTGTTGGTTCGTACTGCTTGCATAAAGACACACCAGCTGGCAATTGGCCAAGTTCGACTGTTCATCCAGTGTTTTTCTACACAATGTACAATTGTCTGGAGGCAACCTGGAGCGCCGTCTTTTAATTCATTATATGTAGGTTGGATGTGTTCTAGTTGGTACTACCCTGGAAGGGGTCCTAGAGCTGAGTGATGGTCAACATCTACGCAAATGGAGCATCTCCAGTTGATGTTGGAATTGGTCTTGACAGCTTTCCGGTATACATGTCTCTGGAAGCCTGTGGCATTTACAGTGTTGCCATTTGGTGCATATGACCATATGTCACACCGTAACCCCTTGTTGTGGTCTTCCGACAGTTGTGCATTGAATGCAGTAGTCTGACACTGTTAACTTTGTATAATTTTAACCAATAACGTTTACTGAAAGAATGCTTACTGAATCAATGACGATTACTGAAAGCATGCCAAAACAGCAGAATGGGTTCAATAATCAACACCAGATTAAATATTTTTCAATCGTTTATTGTTTTCAAAACAGCTTTAACAATCGCCGATCAATTATCGTCCATAATCACAACTCACTCAGCAGAATGGTTTCAGTAATTAACACCAGATTGAAAACAACAAAAGGCAGGTACATGTAGCAGTGTTAGTTTTTTTTTCTATGGTTTATTATTTCAATTTATTTCAACAACATGTAGGTTATTTTACCTTATTTGAACAACATATGATGTATGAATCAATTTGAGGTTCAAATGAACTAAGTACGAAACAGCCTGCACCCATCTTGGGTCAGTGTTCATCAGATTTTTCTTCCGGGGGTCGGTTGCTCAAAGCTCTGTTATCTTTTAACGATCCGTTAACATGGAGTTAACGGATCATTAACTTTAACGGAGAGAAAGGTTGTTGCTGGAAGCCCCGTTAACTTTAACGTGTAGTTAACTTGGCGTTATATTTAACGGAGGTGTTGGTCTCCGTTATCTGTTTAATGATGGCATTAGTTGGCTGTAGCAAAAAGTCATAGATTACATTGTACCTATGTAATTTTCTATAGAACATTCTAGAGGCTTGGGCGATGCGGGCCTATTCCATTTTCTATAGGATGAAATTCTATACTATTTTACAGAATTTTGGTGGCCTGTAGGAAATAATGACCCCATAATTTTTCCTACAGATTTATGCTAAAATTTCTAAAGGAAAAAATAAAGTATTCTATGGTGTTTTCTGTAGTAAATTCTAGTTATCTTTTTGTCTTTAATCAAGTTCTGTGCACAGACTGCACAGTTAGTTGTCTCACTGTCTTCAGTTTCTTGTTAATACTAACTTCTATAAAGTTGTTATACATGTACATTGAATTCAACAATTTAAAATTCAGCCAATGAACAAACAGTATTCTCTTGGATTAATTTTAATGAATCCGTTAGCTAACGGATAATGAAATTGACTTTCCAGCAACAGAAATTTAACGGACCATTAACAAACGACAAGTTACCAAGATAATGATCCGTTAAACTCTAACGGATCGTAAAATAACTTAGTTTTGAGCAACCGGCCCCGGGTCATTTAGCCAGCACCACCACATGATTATTAACAATCGTGCTATATTAACATACATTATGCAAGAGCTAAATCTGCCTATTGCAGGTCTTTCTCTAGGCCTGAAATGTTTTCTAAGTTATTAATTACATATAGATAGTAATTAACTAATCAAGGCCATAATCAACTCTCGATAGCAGTTGATTTCTACGATAGTAAATAGATTAGAACGGTTCAGCCATATTTTGATTTAATTTGAAAATGGAGCAGTGAGACTTAGCTTCGAACAACCAGTACGGTGGTTGAAATTATTGCACGTCTTTGTCAAACCTCCAAAGGCCAATATCTTCACTCACAATAGAGTATTTGGATGAAATTTTCAAATTATTTATTTTACATTTATCTATTTCAAACTATTATAGCAAGAATGGCTAGCTCTTTATCTTAATCTTACATAATGTATCTTTAATGAAATCAAAAGATAATCATTCAATGAACATAAAATCCTACTTACTGTTCCAGATTATCTCCAAATAATTCTTCTCCATCTTCCTCCTCTTCAACAGGACCTCCACCATTTAATTCTGATTCATCTTCAAACGGGGGTAAATCACGCCCAGGACTGGATGTTGGATCACCTCGACTGCTTCTTCGACTTCTAGTAGGTCTTGCTGGACTTGTTGCTGTAGAAAAGGGATCAGAACTTGTGTCCTGTAGAAAACAATGTTAAAATGTAATTTAAACTGGTGTGTATTAAACATACATTACTGTATGCAAGAGCCAAATCTGCCTATTGCAGATCTTTCTTTAGTTTTAGGTCTGAAATGTTATCTAAATTAAATCATTAATTAGACATTAAATAACTTATTCAGACCATATTCACCTCTCGATGCCATCGCTAGACGCTAGCCTGTGATATTTAGTGGATTGGAATACATTTTTGAAAATTAATGAAATTTTTTTATCGTTGCCATCGCTAGACGCTAGCCTGTGATATTTAGTGGATTGGAATACATTTTTGAAAATTAATTAAATTTTTTTATCGTACTAACTTTAGAGATGATTGACGAGCGAGGCTAGTGTAAAATTCAAAAGCTAATATCTCGGTTCAGTGTGGAGCAATTTGACTGAAATTTTCAGCTATAGTCTATTTACATTATCTATTTGTTAACTATTATAGCGAGAACAGTCAACTCTTGTCTCTTTATCTAATCTGCCATAATGCCTCCTACTCTTTAAAGGAGCTAAATCGCTAACATTTGGGACCTAGAAATTCACAAAAGTGGGTCACAACGCATATAATAATAATATGAATGTATATAAACTGATTTACATTTAATGGTTTCCATTTTTACTCCAATTTCAAATCAGTTATGTTCGGCGAAATAAGTCAGCAATCTCAATCGAGTGCAAATTTCTAGCGTCTAGTTATTCTAGTCTACATAACTCCATTTGATTTGGTGCAATGTGTCTAGCCTCGTCCCTCGAGTCTCTCAATCAATACAACTGGGGCTGAAGCGCATTATGGTACACGATTCGTGTACCGTCCAATGTTAAAAAAATTATTTTATCATAAATATCGGATATCAGAAGCTCATCTTTTCCCGGTAAGTTTACATCATCAATGTTGATTTAAATTGACCAATAATTCGTGTTTTCGATGTCGAAGATTTTGGACGATTTTTAGTTACAGACTTAGGTCCTTTAATAATTGGTATCCAAATCTGAAATCAACCAACAACCAAAAAACAAGAGGGACCAAATTATAAGACCACTGCCACTGGGTTAGATTTTGCTTTGAAGGAAAAATACCAATACATTCCACTTTTTTTATTAAAAGAATTGAAGTTTTGCTACAAGGTTTATTTTTCAGAAATAGGCGCTGGTACTCGGTAAAGCCAGTTTAAGGAAACAAGCTAAATGGAACCACCTATGGTCCTCCTGACTAAGAAAAGGTCCATGCAATCTCTTCTTAATTAACACTGAACCAGTTCAGTTGTTATTAATTTTAGTTCCGCTTCATTTTAATACAGATCGCATCAATAAACACGCGATCTACTAATTCTAAAGGAAAACAAAGTGATATAATCGATGTTATACTTACAGCCATCGTAAGTTCACTTTCTCTACAACTTTATGTTCTTCAATAACCACAATGTGCTCGAATACCGCGGGAAATAATGGGTCAAAGGTTAAGTCATTATAGTACAAGCAAAGTAGTTCGGATTAATTTGCCTTACAAAAGGCACAATTACCACGTCACTATATAGAATATATATTCTATCAATATTTATATCAATTTTTTTATCATATCTAATATGGACTGATATACAAATTCTCTATTTTGATATTAATTAACGTTTTCTTTCTATATATCACTACACATATTTCCCGCGATTCTGGTCACGTGGTATACCTATTATTGTTTATAATTTAGACTAGTCTCGCTTTACCGGTTTTAATTGGAAGATTTTATGCTAGATTGTCATGGCGAATAGATATTTGCTAACCTCACATATTGTGGGTTATGGACATACACCAAAACGGACAAACATTTTGGTCAGAGCAGTCAAACATTTTGGTCGAAACGGGCAAACAAAATTCAAAACGGCCCGGCTTATAATTTTGGATTATCAATCCAATGAATCAATCATATTTAAATTTATTCACACTGTACACATTATTTATAACGTCTCAAAATTATAGCTTTGAATTGGTCAAATGAAAAAGACAACCCTTGACTTTGACATTTATAATTTAAATCCTCTAACTTTATCAGATGGTGTGTTGCCATAGGCCCCTATCATATAATACTTTCATTCGTACCTTATTAAATTACATGTGAATGTGTATCCGAAATAGTTTTTAATTAACTGCAATATCGAGAGTAAAATATGTTTTCAATGTAGGCCTAATTTAAAACCTTTATGTAATTTATGATTATAATTTTGTAATCATATATTTGTAAATATTGCGCCGTTTACGTAAGCCCCGACTTGTTTTCGAAACCCATAATTAGGCATATTTATTGAATAAAGCAAAGTGTCACCATTTTCATCTGACGAACGAACATAGCTAAGAACAATTGGGATTCGAACTGTCAAGGGTTCTGTCAGGTTCACGCCAACATGTATAGTACGGGACCTCGGTATATTTTATTACAGTTTTTCCTACAGATTTATGGCAAAATTCCAATAGGAAAATACTATAGTATTCTATAGGGTTTTTTTTTATTGCACGCTCTGTTGGACATTCTACAGTTATGTATAGGAATGAATACTGTAGTATTCTGTTGTTTGAAAATTGGGCCACTATAGTTTTCTGTAGGAATGGGTAAAATTTCTATAGGAAAATACTATAGTATTCTATAGGTTTTTTTTATTGCACTTTCTGTAGGAAATTCTACAGTTATGTATAGGAATGAATACTGTAGTATTCTGTAGTTTGAAAATTGGTCCACTATAGTTTTCTGTAGGAATGGGTACTATAGAATTCTTTAGCCTTTTTTGTTATTAAATCTTATTTTAGGAATAAAAATATAGTTGGCCCATGATTTCTTCTAAATTGATAAGCTTATTTTTCTCTCATGGATTCTTCTAAATTGATAAGCTTATTTTTTCTCTCATGGATAAATCTGAATTCTGTTGATGATTCACCAGCCAGAACCATGAAAAGTTTTTTTTTTTTGGTATAACTGAAATATAAGGGAAAGAATAGGTAATATAAAGTTAAATAAATAACAAAATCACACAAATCTTATCTAATTAAAGTAATTTAATATTATTGTTAAGAAAGTAATAATGTATACTTATCTTTCTATCTTTAATCGAATCTGTGAAAAAAAGGCACCATTCTCTTCAGTTTCTTGCTAATACTAACATATTAAGTTGTTATACACTGAATTTTTGAATTTAAAATTCAGCCAATGGCCAAACAGATTTCAAGAGAGTACATTGGCTGTTAATTATAGTTTGTCGACAGGTATGCACGGCTGACCTGGTGACTTGAACAAATTATATAATTTGAGTACAGAAACTGCTATAGTCATTAAAATCTAACTAGCAGGATCACATAACAGTCAGACTGTGTTCTAAATAAACTTTGTCTTTATTTTATTAACTTATCTGAAGAATAATTTATTATCTGATATTTTTGTTGTGAAGATCTACATTTACTGGCATTTTTGGGAGGCAGGGTGGGGAATTTCTTTGAGTGTCAACATGTATCACTATTTCATTCATATTATATACACTATTTTATACTTAATATTTTATTTTTCGTGGTAAGCTTATTTTAGTTTGTCATTTGGTATCACAATAAATTAAGGAAAACTGCATCCAGGAAAATTATGTTGGAAAAGTTTACATAATTCACACAAATGCCCCACTAAATTCTTCGAAGGAATTATTAGTGAGCAGAAATTCGCCCGTATATCCGTTATCACTCGTCACATCATCAGTTATATAGAGAGCTAGATGACTCGTGTTTTCCTTTGGCGTTCGTCACTTCCGATTCAGGAAATCATGTATTACTCAGCTATAGCAGCAATGATCTCTGTGTTAAAATTATATTTGGAATGTGTTTAACCAGCTCTATCACATATTATGTGATAATGACTGGCACCAATATTGTCCTTTAAGAAGCGGAGATAAATGGGTTAAACGTCCATTTGACACAAACTAGGTCATTTCGGGATTAACATGGTTCAAGCTTATTTCAATAATTTGCTTGTGCGTAGGGTTTTTTTAGCAGTGAAAGGAAAGGAAACCGAAAAAACTGAAGAGATTGGACAGGCGACCCTACTCCCTGTCACATACAACCGGGCATTTGAAACCAAGTCACTTGACTCAATGACAGACCTTATGATTTCATGCGCACACGTTAATCCACTAGACCATCCGACTTCCCTTTTTAAGAAGGGATAGGACAGAGAATAACCGTATGGGTTCAGGTTGCCATCTTTGGCCCACATCTGGTGCATGATTTTCATGTGCGGGATGGGTCAGTTGTGCCATCTCTGGCCCACATGTGGCATGCCATATCTTTGCCAGCTGTTAGCCAGATCTGGCCCATATAAGGCGAGCGTGTGCATTAGCGAATGTGGGCCAGATCTGGCTCTGACTGGGCCACATCCGGTCCAGATATGGCAGATTTGGCCCAGTTGTGGTATGCCATATCCGGCCCAATCATTTTGACAGATGTTGCCAGATATGGGCCATGTTTGTGCCAAATATGGTGTGTTGTCTGGGTATAGATATGTAACTGATACATTTTCACATAAGTTCGTTGCAAAATGAAATAAAATGAGGTTAAAGTTCTATTGTTTCTAACTGTCAAATAGGGATTATTTTACCTGCACGCTAACCTGTACAAGAGACCCCCGTTTTCAGCCCCCCCCCCCTGCACCCCATCCCCGCTAGACTAGACACTGTCCCATGTCAGCCCCTCCCCCGCCCAGGATCACTGACAAGTGGAAATTACGCTGTAAAAGTTATTTCTGTGCCAAAATAAATACTGCTCTGTCATCTTAGCCGTTTCATGTTTGAAAATTAATTGCGTGTCTGCAGGAAAAAATAAGCAATGTTTGAAACTCATTTGGTACCACACATGCAGAAGTGGCATCAGTCTACACATGGCACAGTATACACTGTAAAAAATATCCATTTTTTATGTGGCCGAATTCCGTAATTTAACACCTTTTTTCTGTTAATCGATGGATTTTTTGGAGAAATTGTGTTAATTGTCTGAATTATTTCTTCAAATTACGTGTTTTATGTATTTCTGTGGAATATTCAGTATTAAACAGGAAATTTCCGTGAAATTTAGGGATAAAATGTTTTATTCCCTTCTATAACGGACTTAATTCTGTTATTTTACGGAATAAACGGTGGAATGACAAGGAAGTTCCGTGAAATTTAGGGATAAAATGTTTTATTCCGTTCTGTAATGGACTTAATTCTGTTGTTTTACGGGATAAACGGTGCAACGATAAGTAATCGTATACATATATAATCATTCCTAATAATCATCATGTTATAGTATTCATTTCAATTTATTAACCATAATATGAAGAATCATATTTTGTAACGTTTGGTATATAAATTGACATGTATATCTAATTTCCATTATTTATAAGATCTATAAAGTGTATTGTTATTCATCATACGGTAATCAGATTGTAAGTATTTTCATAAATATGTAAAAGTATGTTTTAATGCTGCGGTTGTTAAGGATGTAATATCTGGTAATCAAGCACGCTGAAGTCCGGATAGTACAACCGGTTGGCCAGTGTAAGTCGGTCTGTCTCTATGGCAGAGTCTGCATACCTGCGAATTGATAATACCGCAAACTTACATCTGAAAACCTCCAACCACTGACGAGTAGCGGTTTGTGATACATTGCTCTCGATTCTTATAATAGCGAAAAGAGGTTACGTTTTAAAATTATTTGCGATATCACTTCGGTGGAAGCGGACGTTAAATAACGCTATTTCACGCACGCGTATAAAGTCAATGGTTAATTCAATGAAATTTTTATCACCTTCATGGTCAGGAAACAAAATTTACCAGGATTTTTTTTTTCTGTATTAGAAAATGGAATTTATGTTAATTGAAGGAATTTCTATAAATTACAGGAAAAACAAATACGGATAAAATTTTCCTGGTAATTTTTGTTTCCGGAATTTTTTACGTTTTTTCACGGAAATTTTTGTTACAGTGTAGAGTCTTTCTAAGTTTGTAGTCATTCAAAATGCATTGAAAACATAAAATCACAATGTAAAAAACAGACAAGTACCTAGAAACAAGAGCAAGTTCCACTGGCAACCAGATGAGATATAACAAGATTCATTTATGATACAGTTACATAATTTTACCCGATACACCCCAGCTCATAATGAACAATATACATGGAATTACATCTACATTCTTAATTAATATATTCAAATCATAACGTTATCACATGTATCTTTATCTCGACTACAATAAAATAATGATCCTGTTCAAAATTACATATAATATATAAAGGAACATAGCCTTTTAGGTTAGGATTGAAAAAATGTCTTAAGTTGCACTGATGTGCTTTTTCGGTTAGCGATGGGACGGGTTCTATCTGATTCAATTTTTTTTCGGTATACAGAAGACTGCATTCAGATTGGTTATTACTCTTTTGTTTTTGTTTCTTCCTTTTTTTCGTTGACTGTAGAAAAAAAAGAATCCGCTATATATTCTGAATTCAGTTAATCACAGCCGCGACACTACTGATCTCACCCGCTTAAACAAATTAATATAGAAATATTTTCATCCATCAGAACTGATTAATGCAGAAGATTTTTTTTCAACAGAACAGAATCAATATATAGATAGATTTCCATCCGACACAATAAATTAATATACAAAGATTTCCACCAAACAGAACAGAACAAAACAAATTAATATACATAGATATCCACCCGGTAAAACAAATTATATATCACTTTAACATGAATTAAAAGAACACTTCAATTGTTCACTCCAACGAAAAAAGGCTGTGTACTTTTAGATTAGGGAGATCGATCATTAATGTTTAGCAACTGGTAAAACAGAACAGCAGATCCATTTAGCTGGCATCGGCATATCTCGAACAGAATTATCCCAAGTTTCCGTGACAGTATCAAAACATTCTACCGATTTAAGGGTTTGAAAGTTCGTTGTTGACATTCCACCAACTAAAAATATCTTTGTTCCTGGAAGTAAAAGAGTTCAAAATGAAGACAAAACTGTTTAAAAAGTTTAAAATAAAACCCTCCAACAGACGATCAAAGGTAAAGTCTTTTTGTATATAAGTCTACTTGGTCTTTGACTGGGGTGTGTTTGGTTTTTTTATGGGGGTTTATTTATGATTTTTTTTGTAGGGTTAGGAATTGAATTTCTCTCGGAGGAGACGATCCGACCTTCCAACCCATGCTCCCTGTTATTCAATATTGAATTAAAATTTCTCCCAAAATGTATCCATTCTCCAAATTCGTTTAATATCATAGGTGTTATTTCACTCTCGATTCCGATTGCATTTGTGTTATAAATAAGTTGTCAGGCAAAGTGGAATGTGCACATACAAAGCTATGCTGTCCCAAACGGGGTCCCATGGAAACCAAAATGATCTCTAACAATTTTAGCACATTTAGCAATATCGTCTGCAAGATTTCATATACCATGTTGTATAATAAATGCTCAGTTCAAATTTAGATAACCATTCCTTTTGAGTATTCAACTGTTGCCCGTGTGGGTGTAATGCAATCACGACAACACGAAGAGACTCTTAGTAATTAAATGTTTAATAATTGATTCTTGTTGCAACGACTGGCGTGTAAAATAGTAAACTTTATCATATATGAATTTAACCAATTCGTTTCAGATAGCTACAATAATGTATAGCTATGAAATGTACCAATTAGACGCGGCGATATATTCTGAATACATATATAAATTAAAAGAGCAAATAGGCCATTGGTTTTTGATCTCTCCATTCTCCAAGATCATCATTAATATCATGCTTAGACATATAAAAACGATTTAGATTTGGCATCGTGACTTATCGCAAGACATGAAGACACCATACTCTACCACTTCCTTACAAATCATCATTTCAAAAACGGACAAACATTTATATAATCTTGAAAACATTGGAGATACTCTAAGATTGAGAATTACCAAAGAATATTTACATATGGGGCTACAGGGACCATAGTTTGGGTAGAGTTTTATTGAGAATAAAGAAAAACTAAATATTAAGACAACTGAACGAGACAAGAACGACCAGGATGTCTGATGCAAAATCGAACTTTTTGTCTTAAACAACATTTACACAACAAACAATTTTCATTTCTCTTTTTTTTTACCTATAACAGCGACTCCATGGTGATGTCTAGGTAAGCCCATCTCTGCTTTAAATTCCCATTTATTTTTCGCTGGATCGAACATTTCTATTAAACCAACACTAGAAAAGGTTCCGTCTTTTGCTGCAGGATAAGAACTACTGGCACCACCACAAAGGTATAAGCCGGAACCAATAGATACCAGGCAACAGAAACATCTTGGAATACGCAGATCAGACATCGTTACCCACCTATAAAATTAAGTTATCTGTATTATGTGCATTGATAAAATATACAGCTGAAGATTCAAAGCATCAAAAAACAACTTTGCATTGAAATATAACGATAAAGAATTGTACTAGGGCAGGTGTAGACGATCAGTTGTTTTAACTCAGCTCTACTCGCAAAATAATTTCCTTTGTTTCATATTGAATGGCCCAAGAACTTACTGGTTCGTTCTGGGATCAAACGCTTCTACGGACTGAAGAATTGGTAGCTCCGTTTTTTTGTCAAGGTGTTCACCATGGCCTCCAGCAACATAAATCTTTCCATCATTAACAGCAGCTCCAAAACCCATTCTAGCTGAATTCATAGGACGTGCATATATCCAGCTATTGGTTTTATTATTGTAGCATTCTACACTGGCTAAAACACTAGAAATACAATTAGGTTTACTTAGATTAACTTTGCACAATACATGTTAAGGGTACAAATCCAAAGTTTAATCTTGCCCTTCTTTGAGCTAACGGCAGCTTGTGTTTCATAAAAAGAACAACTATATTTTATGGCAGAGCATGCTCATTTTATGACACCTCTCTATCAGTTTAGTTCTATTTTTAATGAACATGTAGCTTTGTCGAACATAACATCATCTGTGGGGTATCTATACAGAGTTTTATCCGCTTTTAGTACGTTTATATTGCTGGAAAAAGACTATTTGTTTCATACCGGATTTCATTTCATTGAAGTAGGTATACCGAATTATTTTTTTCTAAAGACCCATTACACGTTTTATAGAAATACCTACCGTGTTTTTTCATCTTGACCGCCAATTGCGTATAGCATTCCATATAAAGCACACATTTTATGATACATCCTCGAACTGTTCATTAGAGCACATTCTCTCCACACCTTTTGACCAGGGTCAAACTGGAACACTTTCTTTAAAGGTAGAGGGTGCCTTTTTGTGAAGGTCTTTTTTGCGCCTGTACCACCTATTTCAATAATAAAAGAGGATCACTATCATTTAATAATTAGTATGAAATAGAAAATATTGAAAGTAAAGGTAGTTTGTGAATACTTACCACTTAAATATAATTTCCCACCTAAAAAGGCAACCGCATGATGGTGACGTGGTTCCGGTAATTCAGCGTAGTACTTCCATTGGTTATCGTTACTATAATATCTCTCTATATGCTTCTGAGCTAAAAATTTCAAAGAAAACGTTTCATTCACTAAGTGATGGCATAAAGTCTTCCCTCATTCTTCACACAGAGAACTATCTACTTTGAGAATATATATCTACACTGAATGGCCGCCATATTCACAAAATGGTATACTATTTTGTAATGCGGTTCTAATCCGTTTTACATCTTTCATACACACAAAAATAAAAAATAAAAACATTTTCAATTTTATTTAATGGAATCAAAATTAAAATGTCGGCGAAACAGCTTCTTTCCCTTTAGATTCAAAACAGAAAGGAGTTGGAAGTTATTAGTATATAAGTAGCTGATGTACTGGGTTTGTTTTGGGTTTTTTGTGTGTTTTTTTTTAACTCACTATGATCTTCCTTGGTGTCCTGTTGAAAACCGCCTATAACAAGAATATCACCAGAAATAAAAGAAGGAGAGATAGACCGAGCAGCTGGAGTTGGTGCAAGAGATGCCAGAGGCTGTGATTTCTGTACACCGACCTTGATTGGTGGTTCATGAGTCACTACTTCACATGAAAAGGCGTTTCGGAGATCTTTAAACGATGGTGGGTTTTCATCTGGGATTGTCTGAAATATAGAAATCCCTTTGGAATGTAATGTAGTGTAATTTTAATCCCTCTCATATGGCCATTGACAATAACTCATTAACTGGTTTTCATATGTGCTATAGTCCTATTGAAATACGGAAATACGTTAGATTACCCTGCACTACCCTAACGATACACAATCACGGTTTAGTAATTTGGAATACAGTCCAAATTTCTGAAAACTATTTTAGTGAGATACACTTGCCAACATTTGTAAAAAAAAAAACCCCAGCTATTATAGGCCAGAAAACAGTTTGAAGGATACAATATTCACAAGTAAACCCGACATCCAGGCAAATGGCGCATTGAGCACACAATCGAGATACTATGTTGGCTTCAATCAATGATGATGATGGGGATAATCACAATTGTGATGAAGACGTATTTGGCATACGCGTGGAAATGATTTATGCTGCACAAGAGTGACCAAATGACGAATTTAATGGCGGTAGTCTCAGATAATAGCGGGAGATTAGGATAAAAGATATAATACGTAAATTCTTCTTACCATAAACGTGTCAGTAGATGCAGTGGCGGGATGGTTCATCCCAATATCATTCCTGAAACATATTCTTGGTAGTGGTTTAGGTAAATCTAGCAAATCAGATTTTTGGTTATCTTCTGTCGATACAATCCTTTTAAAATGAAAATCACACTTCAACGAAAACTATAAATATAGGCTCACAAATCGTGGAAATACGGAAGACAGCAGTAATATCTCGACAGCAGCTTATCGGAAAGGAAAACTTGGATCTTGACAAAATTTTATATTTCGGCAAAGGGGAAGGGGATAACTCTAGAACGCAAAGTCGCAGACTGCTGAATATCGCTAGGGTTTGTCCATTAATGGCCACAATGCTACAAATGTGAAAATAATCCGTTAAAAACTACAACATCTCTTGCGCTCATGGGTGGTAGGGTGGTGGAGTGTTTGTTGTTTTGTTTTGTTTTGTTTTTTTTTGGTTTTTTTTTGGTTGTGTTGAGGGGGGGGGGTCCGTGAGTCTGGAAGGAAATATCGAAGAAAGCTGGATATCGATAGGGATTGTCCTCTCATGACCCCAATGCTTCCAGCCAAAATTAAAAGCAATCAGTTGAAAGATATAGCCTCTATCGCGTTCACAAATTAAAACCAGTTGAAAAATATAGCCTCTATCGCGTTCACAAAGTTTTCGATATAGGGGGATAACTCCAGATGGAAAGCCGCGGAACGATGAACATCGATAGCGTTCGTCTTCCCAAAACCACAATTCTTCACACCAAATTTTAAAAGAATGTGTTAAGAACTATAGCCCCTATTTTCACAAAGGGGATGGGGCGTAGTTTTGGGTTGGGATATCAAAGAACGCAGAAAATCAGAAGGTTTTCGTCCTCTAACGGCCCCAATGCTTCCCACCAAATTTGAAAAGAATCCGTTAAAACGTTCACAAGGTGTTTGTCAAAGGGGGATAACCCCGTAACGGAAAGTTGCGGAACGCTGAAAATCGATAAGGTTCATCCACTCTGGACCCCAATGCTTGAAAACATGGGGGCATAACATTGGTACAAAATGTCGCCCAACGCAAAATATCGATGCCTCATGCCAAATCTGTAAAAAATATTTCGTCAAAATTTGTAGCCCCCCCCCATCCCTTTCACAAGCCAATTGTTGACGGACGGAAAACGGACAGGGTGACATAATAATAAGCCAACACTGAAATGTGGACATATAGAAATTATATATGTCCTATAATTTATGTATCAGATTATTTTAGCTTGTATTGTGATTATTCGCATCTGAATTTTTCTCAATTAAATAACAAGCCAGAGAAAAGTGTCGAGGGCTAAAGATATATGGCACTAGCGATGGTACTGGACAGTTGGCCTTTTTGTATGAAATCACCTAAGGGGATAACAGTTTGGGATCAATTGTGCTTCAAATATATGTAGAAAACACTAAAACAATTCTGGTATACTCGTTAAGACCAATTTTCTTTAGGCTGTTCCATTCTGCTTTTCGATTATGGCGACAGCGTTTGACAAATGCTCGTAAAACATAATAATATATATTTACCAGTTGGCATGGATCAACATTTCACGACATTTGTCGGAATTCTTCAATAAATCATTGGATTCTAAGCATTTAAAAAGTTCTGAATGAGATAGATATGGAAAACGCACACATTCCATAACTTGATTTAGATACTGTTCTCTATCCTTCATATTGTAAGCAATCCATTTTAAACCGGCCCAAAATACATCCATTTCAGAAGAGACCAATAGCCGATCATCATGTAGAAGCGCACATAGATTGTCTAGGCTTAACTGATTGAAAGGAATTGTATCATAGCAATCCGTGAAGTGTTCAATAATACTCTGACGTGATATTCGATAAGCTTCACTAGTCACAGGAAGTTTTCCAGATTGCACAGCAATCAAAGCTTGGTCAACTGTAATAGCATCCATATACTTTGCACATTTTTCCTTTATGACAGGAATGCTTAAAAAGTCGGCAGCCATGATCAAATCACCTATGTACTCTGGCGTTATTTCAATTGTAGCCAGGTAGATATATTCTAAGAATATGCGGAAGGCATCTGGTGATATACCGTGCAGCTTGATCTCTAAAGGCAGCTTCGTCTTCTCAGATGTGCGCGCGAATGAATCCGCAAAGTACTTGCTGAAACATGATAAAACCACTCTGTGAGCTTTGAAAACTTGGTTTCCCACGTAGACGATGACATCAAGAAGTTGAGTATGTTGGTGTAAGTTGCTAAGATGTTCCCCAATTATTGAAAAATGATGAATTTTGTCTATTGGAATTGTTGTGAGTTGCTTCAAGATCTCGTTGAAAGTTTGGTCTGACGGATGGGATTTAAGCTTATCATCTCCCTTATTTACTTCGTCAATCTGTTGCTCATTGTCAATTGTATGGAATATGTTACTTTCATCAAGGAACATAACTCGACCAGGTGCTATTGGAACTGATGTTAAACGTGTTACTTTATGTTTTTCTCCGGATTCATTCCCACCTTCAACATAAAAAAAACACGACGTGATCATTGTTTCATCCGAAAAGGCCAAACATATCCGGGAACTTTTGAACGTCAATGGAAACCAGGGTAGGATTTATTTGGAGGCCTTGTAGTTTTTGGACGTGCTCTACCCCCCCCCCCCCCAAAAAAAAAATGAATAACTTTTCATGCTTCCCGAATTTTACACATCGTATTAGTTCATCTCGAGTCACGGCATTACCGAGCTAGGTAAGTATTTTGCTGAAAATAAGCTCTGTTGTGTTAGGAACAAACATAATATGGAGCTTTTATTCGATTTGAATTAACTAGGCAAATCTACCACATTTATGGCATCTGATAGACTAATATTTTACTAATGGCTGATCTCGATATACAAGCCATTTAATTGTTAAATGTTAAGTGCCTCTAGATAAAAAAAAAATCCCGTGCATTGAAAAAATGCTATGTAGCCTTGTGAATATGTCAAGATTGTATGGGGAAACTTATTTACGTATCATTTGTATTGTTGGGGTATTCCCACCACCACCTTAAGCACGAACATTACATGGCTTCATATTGAATAATTTAGAGAATTAGAATTGATGTTAAACTTAACATGTATAGTAAGTCTCGGGGGACGCACTACACTCAAACAGAACCGAAAAGGCATGGAGGTGCATGTAGTGACCTACTGCGCCTTGTTTGTATCCCACTATTTTTGCTGCTTGGCCATCTAAATGGGGTTTTGGGTATTTCCAACTGCTGTCACTGGAAATATTATGGTTTGCTGGTTGATTAGTTACATACTTACCGTGAGCTTGTTTAGGAAATATATCTTTTGTAACAACCTCTTCAACTCCCCCACTTTGAACAGAAACTCTCTCATTATCCTTTCCATTAACCTTAGGCTTTACGGGCTTCGTCTCCCTAGATGTATTTTCAGATCGAAGTGATGTGCTACCTGACGTGTATCCGCTATCTTTCATCAAAGATCGACGACCTTCAGACTCACCGGAGTCCTCTTTAAATGTTCTCTGAGGTTTTGGTGTTGAAGTGAGTGGACCAGGTTGTGAGCAGAGAGTTGGTGTAGGAGATTGTCTGGAACTACCCGCGTACTTATAGGTTTCCAGAGAAAAACTGTCCAGGGTATCGATATCTGCTAACAGTGATTCCTCGAGCTGACTCGAGGACATAACCACCTCTGGTGAAACTGCCCCTCCAGCCTTTGATGCAAGGGTACTGTACCTGGCTTGCCATTCCGCCTGTGGATCTATGTCAGATAACGGATTATATAAATCAGTGGATTGGTCCAATTCCCCCTTGTACATCTCTAGTCGCCCTAAACACAACCCTTTCCCCAGCGTTTAATCATAATGGCAGGAGTTATGGTGAAGTTGCTTTGACGTCATACAATATAATAACGTCATAAAGGGTGTGTGGATTTTTAAGACCGTACCATTGAGCTGATTGTTTTACACAGTACTTGTACTGTGGCATCATGTAGAATTATTTTCTTTATTTCAAGTTGCATTTTTCTGCCTAATTTGATCAGATGAATGGATAGACATTGATTCTATTCTGGTACATCATATACTTTATATCATGTCACGAATTCAAAACTATCGATTCAAATTGTACATAACTTTAGAATAATTTATTCGTTTGATCTTTCAATTCAATATAGTCTGACAAGTAAACTGACAAGTAAACTGGTTGAATAACTAAATGAAGTCACACCCAATTAATCGATATTTTTAAATTAAACATTTACAATGTAAACGATGTCCTAATTGAATAGACAAAATATATTATTGATTTTAAAGTAAGAAGACTTTTCTGTAAATTTTACAAAACATACACTACTGATTATTGCTAAACGCCACTGGGCAATTAATCCTTCTTGTTGGCAATGAATGAAATGCATAGACTCTTGAAAGGCTGATTGATCTTAATAATTGTTTACTCATGTGCCTTTTGGAAATACTATTTTGTGTGCATGGTCTGAAAGTCTGTATTTGTCTGGGCTGTTGGGGCTTTAATAGAGTTCTCTTCGATTGTTTTCTAATTCATGATGGTGTTCTCTTAACCGGTTTGTTCTCACTTTCCCAGCAGATTAACCCTACTAATTAAGCGGATTAGGGATTAGCTATAGATTAGTGAGTTATACTCTGTTTTAATTATTGCATGAACAGTTCAATTTAACATATGACATGTGTGAACTATAAATCACTGTCTGATTTTTCGTTCATATGTCAGTTTAATTTTATACTTAATTACGATGAACACTGTTTGTGGTAAAAGTTTATTAAATAGTTGAAAGTTCAAATTGTATGTCATTCCAAAATGGCTAATGCACGGGTAAACGTTAGGTTCATTCCAAACTCGAGAGGTACTCGAAGCTATAAGTTCAGTGTTAAGACAAGAAGAGGAGCCCCCCATTAACTGGAGGTGTACTGTTCGTGAATGCCCTGCTACTTGCAATACCAGGAATGACCTGGTTACTACCTACAGAAACATCCATAATTATCAAGCTGATCCAACCAAATTAAAAGTTGACATGTTTTTTATCAGCAATGAAAGAATCGGTTAAAGCATATTCTAAGCCAATTCCAGCAGTTTACAAAGAAGACTTTATATGAATACGGAAATTCGATATCACATTTAGTCGGATTTTAAATATACATGTACAATACTAAATTTGTTAATAAAATAACTTGTATGTAAAGTAGTTAATATTGATATGAAAAATATATATGTACATGCTAAATTTGTTAATAAAATAACGTTTATGTAAAGTGGTTAATATTGATATGAAAAAGACTATAGTTTAACACCATTGTTACCCTAATTAGTACTGGTCCAATGATTTTACCTGGAAAACAATAGCTGCTGGGAAAGTGAGAACACCCCTCTTAACCATGTAAAGTGGCGTACATCTTCTTTTGAAGAATATTTGACCGAAATAAACATTATGGTGTGTCGGTTAGAATTTACTTAAATGTTTTGATTGCGTGACCTTATTCTATATACAGCATTGTGTATAATATTACATTGAATGCATACCTGATTTAGTTGAATCGGTATTATTGAAACGTGATATTATGTTGTCAAGCATTCAACGATCTAACAAGACATGGAGGTAGAACAGTTTAAATTTACACAATCAAATAACATTTAACATTCATAAAACTATAAATATTGTTTAATATTCAGCTTGACACTATTTCTCTACATATACTTCAAGTTGGAGACTCCATATTGATTCAATGCCCGGTATCCAAGGACAACAAATCACCAAACTTTGTCTGTGATAGCATTCACTCTCAAACCAAAAACATTAAGAGATTGATTGAAGCGTTATTATATTCTAGCTTATTTCAACCTGTATGCGACCAAAACTATATTAAGTACATTATAGACACAACTGTCTCTTAATACGAGATTAATATAATAAACCCGGATTAACGGCTTAATGGATTAGTATTGTCGAACATATGAACGTCAGTCATAATAAGTGAGGATTAATAGAGATTTACATTATTGCGACCATGTGTGCGATTAATGCAAATCACTACAATTAATTATAAGCTCATCTAAAGCACCACATAGGTTTTAGGGAATTTTGGATTTGTACTTGGACGGGATCACGTCCAATGGACAGTGTTAGATGTTTTGGAATATGTACAATTGTTTTAAGGGGTAAGTAAATCAAAAATATATTTGTTGTATCAATACATTATTTTGTCCAAATTAATAATATAGTGATGTTTTAAACTATCATTGTGTATCTACATACAGTTTTATAAACAATATATGATCTCAATTAAATACGTGAAAAATTCTAAAAATGTTATATCAACAACTGAATTTCACCATATTATAATATAATTATAAAGAGACTGATGTTTTATGTCTCGGTAATACTTCACTTGAATCAAAGACACACACAGTGGTTTCTGCGTGATATATATAAGTACAAAAGTATAAAAGTTTCATACTATCTACACGTAGAACACCATTATGGAATTTAACACATGCATTGTAATACGATAAATAGAGATTTAAGTAATCAAATACAATAAATTTTTAAACATTTTAAAAAAAAAGGGGGCAAGTTTAAATACAACGTTGTCTAAATTACTTGCATTACGTAAACTAATGATTTCAGTTTATCGTCCAACAGAACAATCAAATCAGTTCGAGTTTTAACGTTTGACTAAATGAATCCATTATTTGGAATTGTCAGGAATGCGTATATATACTAAAATAGTCTCAACATGGTTGTAGATTCCAATTGATAATCAATATGAATATCTAAGGATATGCAAATGTAAAGAGGCTGCTTGACATTTAATGAAGAGAATGCTTTGTGACTTTTGCTGGAGTGGGTAAATGTATAACATTTACAGTTCTTATTCTGTATTTTACACTTAAGGTTGACCAATACAGACGTTTATCTGTATCGTTTGCGACAAAGAAAATCAGATAAAATTAAATCGGAATTTCTTAAACCAACCAGGCTAATGAGGCCGAACATACGCCATGCAGGTGCCATGAGGGGGATGGGGCATCGGCGCTTTTATTTCGGATATTCAACTGCCGATATTCACGCGACCTCGGGTTTTCGTCACACACGAACAACTGGACAACTTTTCTTTGCAGGTCCTCCTTCCGGAAGTATGTCATAGTAAAAAAAATCCATTGCGCAAAGTGTGCTATAGCGGGTCGTACATCAGACAGATTATGCTTTGTCTTTTCAGAACACCTGATACAACTTGCCGTCTCCATATTTATGTTTTCATTGTGTTATGTTAACAATGGTGTCCTAAAATTAGGTTAATTGTATAAAATCAATATAAATAGCGTGTAGATATTAATCAGAAACACTGTCTTTTGTATAATTGATAAATCTGATAAAATAAGTATAGTGTTTCAATTGCCCAACGAGTACTATATACACTTTTAAGTGTATATAGTACTCGTTGGGCAATTTGTATGAACCAAACAATTCCAAACAGCTGCCTCGAATATACATGAACGCTTGCCTTCTGCGATCTTGTTGTCTCTATATATAACAATATAGGCAGCCACCCAAATGTTGGAGCTGGTTCGGCTGAAAAACAGAACATTGACGACAAGGTGGTAGGGGAAGGGTGTGTGTGTGTGTGTGTGGGGGGTAATATGGGCATGAGGGTAATATGGGCCACAACTCTGACAAGCTTGTCATGTGACATTTCTTTAAAATGTTATTTACCAAGACTTCTACATCCTCTAAACATATGCTACGCATCATAAAATGTCCAGAGATACATTCCACAAAAAAGCTCGGTATTTTAAAAAAAAAATTATGCGTTAAAAGTGTTTTTTGGGGGTTGAAGACTATCAGTGCATTCCATGAAACACTTACATTGTAAACAAAATCTCTTTTGAGCATTTAAATATAATATTATATTTAGGCTCGAGCCTGTAATTAAAGGGAGAAAACTCCTGGTCTATCTTTATGAAATCCTTTCTTATCTAATCTTTGTCACTTGGAGTAATAAGGAACATGCACATTTGGGGTGATATGAACCATGGTTCATATTATGCCCTAACCATTAAAAATAAATTATCCACGGAATCTTAACAAATTTCACGGGAATGATTTATAGAATAAATCATAAGCCAAAATTATTTTTAGCAATTTTATTTTTTTATGTGGTTCAGAAGCATTATGACGACTATATGTAGAAGGGGGTAATATGGGACATATTTTTTGCTGTGGAATATTTCATAGGTATAATGAATCGATAAACTAAACCTATATCTTTTAAGTTAAGCTGCACTCTAAATTCCTCATTTTCTTCTGGAAGCAGTATCAGAAATCTGTTACATGCTGTCAGCTCATATTACCCCATCACATTGTCTTTATATTTTATAAATTGAAAGATGGGCCCTGTAGCATCAACTAGAAAGTTGATTTGTTTCAATATAACATTATACCTATGTGAAATATTCCACGACAAAAAAAAAAAAAAAAGCAAAAAAAAAAAAAAAAAAAAAAATATGTCCCATATTACCCCGCCCCACTTTCCCCTAAATACTAGTATCCTTTATTCTATAAACTAGTTCGTTGTTCGATCCAACAAAATGGCTAGGAAATTGATTAGCATTGGGTAAACAACCATAACGTGACTCTCTTATTGGGATATTGTCGCCCATTAAGCCCCGCCCCCCTTCAATATAAATGAAATTAAGGACCTGGGGCCTGTTTCACGAAATTTTAACTAAGATAAAATCCAAATTTTAGTAATTTGATTGGATAATATTAGGTTGATTTTAGTGCTTAGCCAATCAAAATTGAAGTATCTGCTAAAATTTGGATTTTATCTTTAGTTAAGATTTCGAGAAACAGTGCCCAGGTTTTTGGGCCATCATTTATAATGAGCAAGCTCCAGGTTTGGCCCTTGGCAAATACATACACCTCATCCCATCAGTAGTTTATAAACGATTTTAATGAAAGAAAATTAAAATCTTTACATTTTTAATGTAATTAACTTTTTGGTAAAATTCAAGAAATAAAAAAAAAGTAAAATAACTTAAGTGGTTCTATAACAAAAGTGATAATTTTATACAGAATTAACCAAAACATTGGGCCATTCTGAGTTTCAAACTTCAAAGTCTGTATTACATAAGACTCTTATAGTATGCTAAATATTACAATATAATTGAGAAATCTCTGTTCTCTTATGTCTTGTTATTGTCTTATATGCCTCCATCAAAACTATTCATGTGTTACTCAAATAAAGGAAAGAGAAACGCCCAGGAAAGCTCGCTAAGAATTCAATATTAATGTCTCGTGTGCAATGGTGTAGACTTTAGATAATAAATATATAGAAGATCTAAAATCTAGAATGTATTTCTTTGTCCGCTGTTGGTAGCAACCAATAAACAATACAAAGACTTATATATGGGCATGTAAAGGTTGACATTTTATTTCATTTTGAAATGGAATAGTGTCGTGCTGTAAAAGATAATTATCAGCAAGAAAATAAAATATATAAACGAATTTAAGTGTAATTGCCATGAGTTGTATGTCTCAAAGACTTATGTAAAAACATATTAAAAGTAGGACGGCTTGTAAACCAATACTTTCAAATTTTACAAAACTTAATTTGAATTTCACTCTATCAGTGGACGCTTCCCTGAAATGGATGCCCGGGGCATTCGAAAACAATTACAACAATAAGTCTGGAATAACATCATGAGCATTATTTTCAATATACATCATGAGAATACTTAATAAAAATAGTTTTTTTAATTCAAAAAACACACACACACAAAAATAAAAAAAATAAAATTCGAATTAAAAAAAAAAATTGAAATTAAAACAAAAATTAACAAGATATATTATGGGAAACAATCTCAAAGGGTATAAATAGCAAGGACACACATGTACTAACAATGCAAAAGCTAAAACCTCGTTTACAAAAGACTATATTTTAAGTTTGGTTCTCGTATAGAACCGTTTTTCCATAAACTATAGCCTAAATTAAATTCATTTAAAATTTGTTTGCACAGTCTTCAACTATAACGCAGCTAATCTTTTGTAAGCGAAGACCCGAAGTTTATAAATTAAATAAAATAAAAAGTGTAATAAGGGAACAACAATTAATCCTATAAGCAAAACCACACCCGTTGTCGGGCCTGGTTTATTCCAGTCAAGAATATCATAGATCACCCGGCTGTGGTCGCCAGCCCAATAAATCGCACTGAATATAGTATATAGTAATAAATACACAAACGGATAAATAAAATGAAGGATTCGAAAAGGCACTGCCGTGACAAAATGTTCTATAAATATTATAAGAGAATTAAGGATATGAAGTTGGAGATTATAATTTCCTATAGGACCACCTGGCATGGTGGGATAAATACTTGTCCAGAATATGATGGTGACCACGAGAGCCCCTGTTGAAACGGCATTATATATTACCCATACAACAATTCGGGCGATATAAAAGTGCACTTTTGGCGATTCTTGCATACTCATATCGTCGTCGTCTCTGAAGTAATCATTATGGACGTCTTCCTCCGTTCTTCTGAAAATCGAGCCTCCCTGTCGCCATTTGTAAATATGGTACACCACTGCCGCTACTAAATGTGTGGTCAGGTAGATAGTGAGAACGATGTAGGTCCAGTTAGTTAAAAAGACGCCCCAACCTAATTTCCCTCCATCAATACTACCATTTCTGGTGACTATTAGCCATGACATAGTATAAAGTGTAAGAAATAAACGATACAATATGTACACAATCGGTGGTGATCGGAACTGTAAAACAAAAAGAAAAGTATCGTGTTTGAGAGTCGATACCTCAAGTACAAAACTAATGATTGCAAAATGTGTGGGAACGTCCACCTCGACACAAACTAGGTCATTTCGGGACTAACATAAGTTTCAATTTTATTTCAGTAATTCGCTTGCGCGTAAGCGTCTTTAGCAGTGGGAAGAAACCTGATGACCCGGAGAAAACCCAAGGGGTTGGACAGGCGACCCTGTCACGAACAACCGGGAAAACGAAACTACACCAGATGACTTATGATACAACGGGCACGCGCTAACCATTCAGCCAACCACCCACCCTCCCCTCCCCCGATTGCAAAATGTATTCAGGTATCGAAAAACACATTATTGCTAAGAGCAATACAATTTACTAGATACGAACTCATTTTTAATATTTACCGGTATGCGATGAATGGATATACATGTAAATGTAAATAAGACTAGGGCAAGTGATTGGCGAGATTGCGAGTTAGGGTAAGCGCCTGGGCTAGATCCAGGGTTAGGGTTAGTGTTGGGATTAGCGCTAGTCCTGTTTACATCTCGTGACCTTTGACAAAACTTGAAGGTGGCCTTATCAAAAAGATCTAAACCACTATTACTTCAAAACATCTTTTAACTCAATGCTACCGCCCCCTTTGTGTAAAAACGCCATGTTTAGTAACATTTTTAACTCACCTGAAACATATAAAATCTGCTATCATCTACATTACCGAATCCAAATTTCATTAACCTGAACTCCTCTCTTAAAACATGTAATACCGTCCCGCAATCCATGTTTTCCGTAACCTTTCTTTGGTCAACGAAATGTGTAAATGAATGACTCAGCTATATACATGTATATATATATCATGTTTCGCAAGACGCTATTATAAATATTACTTTGTAAATTTCTACTACAATCCAACCCACTTCTGATAAAGGTAACAAGATATAGAGCTTAACAATAGTTAAAGTGCACATAAGGTCACTAGACTTCATTTCCTGTACTTGTTGTTGTTCTTCATGTCCGCTTCCACCGAAGGTGATATCGCAGCCAAGTTACCGAAAAAAAAACATAGGTGGTGGACTATAACACAATAGACTATCAGTGGTGGAAAATTCGTCGCTTCCAGGTAAATTTTGAACATATAGATAATCATAGGCGTACGGGTTTGATGACAGCTAGGGGGCAGAACGCGATATGCCCGAAAAAAAATTCGGGTTTACAGAGAGCGCCTGACTTCCTTGAGAGGCGAAGAGAGCGGAGCTGACCTTGCCCCCCCCCCCTCAGGTGGCTGACTCGAATTCCAATCAATCGTTTACAGTCCACGAAGACGGGACCGTTGGGAGAATATTTTGAAAATTTAACTGCTACAATCGCGTTTTCCTGCTATTCCAGCCTGTGAATACAGCAACTTCAATTTGGTCCAATATAGCCTACCTGGCTAACCGGAATTCCAAACAACCAATCAATCGTCGCCGGTTTCGGGGTAATACCCTCCCGGAGAAAATTTTGAAAATTTAACCACCGCAAATGCGTTTTCTGCTATTCTAGCACGTGTAAACTCCAAAAGTATCCAATGGTTTTGTAACCGAAATCCAACTCTGAATTCCAACCATCCAATCAGACTGTTGCAGCTGCATTCACAAATAATAATCGATGCCCGAAAATGTCGCACAAAGTAGAGTGACTCCAGGCAACATTTTTTGATCCATAGTCAACTCTGTACAAATTCGTGACATTCAATTAAAAGAAAAGTAAAATTAGTGTTATATTAGGGAAGCAAAACTAGAAATGCCCGAAAAAAATTTGGGTTTATAGACAGCGGCGCCGGTTTTCTTCGAGAGGCGAATAAGCGGAACTGACCTTGTATGGACCCCGCAAGAAAATTTTGGAATATTTGACAGCCGCAAACGCGTTTTCCTGCTATTCCAGCCCGTAAAATTAGTGTTTTATTAGATTTCGGGCACTTTATTTTGCCAAGTGGATGAAATAAATTTTTGTTTTCACTTTACCCGTCTGCCCGAAAAGTCAGCTTGCCCGAAAGTTAGGGGGGCAGCTGCCCTGCCCCCCCCCCCCCCCCTGACTCGTACGCCTATAGACCTAAGATAATTTGAGGTGTATATATAAGCATACAATCCAGTGCTTTAAGACCAAAGCTAATTGATCAATTTGCCTGGATATTGCGTCCATATTTCAAACCAGGGTGAGTGTAGCGTTCTCTTTTTCTATTTTGGGCCATCAAATGGTGTAGCAGTTTGATAGTGTTGGTGTATTCTGCTGCAATTGTTGCCCAGGACCCACACCCTGGAAATTTATCTGCCACCAGTGGTCTATTGGCCGATCACAATAAGCCGTTTAAAGTAGAGCCTCTTCAGAGGAGAGGGCGGACTAGCTAAGAAGTAGTTGCGCTATAATCGGTTCTCTGTCTTCGAACAAACGGAATAAAACTGTAAAAAACTATTAAGTTTTATTATGCATTAAACAATATAAATACAGTGACCTATATCTAAATATAATAGCTTTTATTAGTCTCGACCATTCAGCCGTCTGCAGACTATGAATATACTAACAAAATGAAACTACGTGTAGATTTGCCACATGAGTAGGGTAACTTTATAAGTCCATATTTCCACAACTGGGTCTGGGCCCCCATCAACGCGAACAAGGCTATTTAAGTCTTTTTGTGACTGCTCTATAAGATTTTGACACTTTCATGGCTCTAAAAAGGTTTTTAAATAGCATTAGCAGGCGGTGAGTTAATAGCTTTAAAAGTAAGTAAAAGTTCATCCACATAGACGCTTTTTGCGAGCGTGCTTCGCCAGCGTCATACGGACTTAATCCAGCTAAATTTTATGGCTAATATCTGAATCTTTCAAGGGTTAAAGTTTCTAATGAAACTAGTAGTAATCGTAATGATCCGTCATAGTTCAAAGAAGGCCCGTAGCCAGCTTGCTAGCTTCGGAGGGGCAGTGAAGGTTTTAGGCGGGGCACAGTCTACAGTAGGTATTTTAGAGCTATGATCGGCAATTTTTTTTTTTTTGGGGGGGGGGGGGCAAAGGCACAAAGTCCACACGAATAATAACCCGCCTTCCCCAGGCCGGAAGCTGGTATTTAATATGTGCAGGTCATGTGGAATGAAACCAACGTTTGCATTTACATGTATAGTGAATGCAGTCTTGATCCCTTGTATAGATTTTGCTGCATTTAAGGCATGGCCTTTTACCAGGAGGAGACTGAAACTTATTTGATGAACTATAAGGCTGCTCCGACTTTACTCTCATTTTCTTTGTTACTTTCAAATGTGGCATATCGACGGTCGGTTGAATACTGAACACAAAACTAAAAGATCAAAAGCCGAAGAAGAATGCTTTAAAATTTCCTGATACAATTAGATAACAGAATGACCTAAGAGCACTATCATTAGGAAAGAAGGAAGGAGAGGACAGGACACAGCCTGTGTCCTGTCCTGTCCTCTCCTTCCTTCCTTCTTTCGTTTCTTTCTTTTCTTTCCTCCCCCTCTCATTTCTTTTTTTCTTTCTCATTTTTTTTCTTTATAGGCTTAGGCCCACTTTTTTTAATGAGCTTAGGCCCGGCCCAGTCCGGCACTGACCACAAGATGTAATATCTTCTGACTGTGAAGAAATACGCCGAGCAGAATCTCTCACACGAATTCAAAATTAAATTAGCAAACATATACCTAGCGTCAATAAAACATATATACATATATATATTTATATGTATCACGATAATAATTGTTACCTTTATAATAGAGGCATTTTAAGACATGTTATTATCGTAAACATACTAAAATATCGCAAACCGGGCACGCAGAATTCAAACAGTAGGCTATTCAAACCAGCTGTGGTGGCAAAATGTTTTTTATTTCACAGAATCAAGGGATGACTAAACTACTAGACTGCAAAATTTCATAAGCCGCCTATGTTGTATTTTATTCGGGACGCCTATTTCACACAAAATATTATGTTATATTTAAGTGGACCTTCCATATAAACATCTATCTGCATAATAAGTTTTTGAAAATATGCATGTAAACAACATTTAGATATTATCTACCACCTGTAGCACTTTCCCCTCGAACTAACAATAAATTGTTTATTGGAATTTTCTATTAAATGGAGACGTTCTTGTCGCTGTAAAATACTCGATCAATATATCAATTGTTAATTTATAAGATAATTTAAGGCACACACCATTTAACACCATATCGTTCTGCATGAAATGACAATAAATTGCTTTTTGGAAAAAACTGAAACATACTTTTCTTTCGTTATTGTAGCTGTAAAATAATATACGAATTATTATTTTATATAGCATATTTCTACATGATGATTAAAGTAATCAAGTACTGCAGAAATTTGCAACACGTTTTAACTTCCCATCTTTCCCCTTCCTTTTTCAGGGCTCCCCAAACTAGTTAATGTTCTTGCGTAATTCGGTGTCCCCTTTTAACCATGAATTTATGTCGTTTTTGATGAATTGCTAAGGTTGTCGCAAGTTAGATGTTCAGAAGCCAGAAAGACCAAGATATACTCTATAAAGCACAATTTACAGTCAATTTTTCGAGAGAAATTTTGCGCCTATTCGAAGAGAACACCACCACCCCACGCCCCCAGGGGGTAACATTAGGATCGACATTAACCACAGGTTCATCATTTCTGCCTGTTTTTTGTCTACCTGTGGTTACTATCGGTCTAGATGATACCACGGACGGACCGGGGGCCCAAGGTCCATGGGTTCCAATGGGATATTATGTTATATTCAAGTAGACCTTCCATATAAACATCTATCTGCATAATAAGTTTATGAAAATATGCATTTAAACAACATTTAGATATTATCTACCACCTGTAGCACTTTCCCCTCGAACTAACAATAAATTGTTTATTGGAATTTTCTATTAAACGGAAAGTTCTTGTCGCTGTAAAATACTCGATCAATATACCAATTGTTAATTTATAGGATAATTTAAGGCATACACCATTTAACACCATATCGTTCTGCATGAAATGACAACAAATTTCTTTTTGGATAAAACGGAAACATACTTTTCTTTCGTTATTGTAGCTGTAAAATAATATACGAATTATTATTTTATATAGCGTATTTCTACTGATGATTAAAGTAATCAAGTACTGCAGAAATTTGCAACACGTTTTATCTTTACCCTCCCTTTTTCAGGGCTCCCAAAACTAGTTAATTAATCCGGGAGCTAGGTTGGTTTTGTTCAACATGAAAGGTGCGGAAGGTTTGGCATGCTAGTGGTGTATGGCTGGGTTAGGAGACCCCAGAAACCTAATTCTTAAGTTGCGCCAGTGGTGGGTGTGGTAGGAGGAGCCACCCATAGTACCCCCCAAAATGGGTTTATTCAACATGGAAGGTGCAAGTTCCATTTCAATGGCATTTGATAGAGGAATGTGCCCTGAATTAGGAAATATAACTTAAGAATGGGATTTTTGGTGGAACAGGCACTTAAGAAGAGGTCAAAGGTCACTAATTAGCTATTTTTTCGATTTTACCGAAAACGATTTTTCCAATATCTCGTGATCAACTCCAGGTATATTACACAAAACTACATGGACATTTTTTATACTGCTAGAAGCAAAAATATGAGACATGAAATCAATGAAGTTTTAGTTAAAAGTATGATATAATCTCAAAAATAACGAAAATATCACTCGACCCCCACCGGTAATTAAAATGTTAATCAACATGAAAGGTTCGAGTGAGAAATCAAGCCTAAATTGTACGTAATGATATCAGAAATCATTATTATCAACTTAAGA